ACGCTGCTCGTCGGCGAGGACTGAAGCCTGAGCTCTGTTTCCTTACCTCCTGCAAGAAGTCGGCGGTGCCTTTGCGCTCGGGACAGCGGAAGCCGCAGGCCTCGAAGAAATCGAGGACGAACTCGCGGGGTCCCTGGTAGACGATCTGGCCCTCGGAGAGGAGGATGATGTCGTCGAAGAGCTCGAAGGTCTCGGGCGCGGGCTGGAGGAGGGACATGAGGATGGTGGTCTCACCCAGGTGGACGATCTGCTGCAGGCATTTCACGATCTGGAAGGTGGTGGAGCTGTCGAGGCCGGTCGATATCTCGTCCATGAACAGCACTTTGGTCGGGCCAACGATCATCTCACCTGCATTGCCATGCCGATGGAGGTCTCATTACGCAGCGAAGCAGGATCGGATTCCAGCATTCGTCGAAGGAAACAGGAAGAAGGTGCAGGTTCTGTTCATTCACTGTTCCTTCCTTGCAGATTTGTTCGAAGATTTAGAAGGTACGAACCTGTGGTGACGCGCTTCTTTTGACCTCCGGAGATCCCTCTCTGCATCTCATCGCCCACAATCGTATCACCACAAATGTCCAGCCCAAGTATCTGCAGCAATTAACGAGTCAACGCCATGGTTAGACCTTCCCTCGTCCATCTTCTATAATGAATAACCCACTATTCGTCGACTAATTTGATTTCATTTGCATTATAATCACTCTATTATTATTTCCGAATTCTTGAAATATGGTGAGAAATCTGTCACTGTGATCGAAATCAACACGCCATTTCTACGCATCTTAGTGGAACAAAAGAAGAGGGTGGAGGAGGAGGACGACGTAATCGAGCCGGTTCACCAACCCCCACCGCGTGGGGTGGGTGACCGCCTCCCCCCCCGCTGGACCCCACCCCCAAACGCCAGGGCCCCGTATCGAACTCGTTGACTTCGTCAGACAAAGACGACTGCCGCTCTCCTGCCTCGAGACCAGCAAGTATCTCAAAGCAGTTTGACCCGTCGGAAGCATCACGAGTCAAGTAAGAATCTACGTACCTTGAGAGTGTAGTCCGTCAGAAGACTGCTCTTGACTCCCTCGATTGCTGTGGCCTGCAGTGTTTTGTTTCGGAGAACCTTAAGATCAACCAATCATCATGGATTAAGGCCTGCTTCTGATCAGATTAATAGTTACCTTCATGAAGAGATCCACTTCAGCTTCTGGGAGAATTCCTGCATCCTTCTCCCTCTTCGCCAGCTCCGTCAGGAGATCTAACAACACGATTCAGCACTCAAACTCTAGTACGAGCTACCATGTGGACTTGCAGACGAGAAAGGGACGGGATGGCATGAATCAGTACCATATCGCGCTCCTACGCCTTGACACCTTGCAGAGAAGTCGAAGGTTTCTTTGACGGTCATCTCGCCCACATGAACATCGTTCTGGCTGATGTAAGCTGCAGTTTTCTGGGGCACGAACTCGTCCAATCTGTATCCGTTGTATGATATCTCCCCTCTGGTCTGCAAGTCGTAGATTTCGTTTACGACGGGTTGGTCGAACTGATTAAGCCATGGAGGAGGAGGTCAGTCACCAACCTTCAAACTCGGATCGAGTTTTCCAGCTAAAGCTAGCAAGAGGGTGGTCTTCCCGGATGATGGAGGGCCTAACAGAAGTGTCATCCTGAAAGAAACCATCGTTGACCATTTTAGTCGACTCGATTGCTATTTCTGCAACTTCTTGGCGAGCGTGATCACCTCGAGGGTTGTACGACTCCTGAGACATCTTTCAGGATGGTGAGAGTAGTTCTCTTGGTGAGGTTGATTCCCAGGAGGCCGATGGCGGACTCGGCGATGTCCCTGGCGGTGTTGGTCAGCGTCGGCAGAGCTCTGTTCCCGACATGGCATTCGGCCTCCACGTTCAGATGCTCGAACCTCACCTCCACAGTCGGTAACTGGATGCCAACCCTGCATCACAACTCCCGTTGGTGAGGAGAACTCAGTATTGGTCTCAAATTGTTAGCAAGCAAATCATGTTGGAAATGCGATCACCATCACGACAGCCACCCATTGCTATCAAATCCAAAAGCGTCAAGGCTCTGGGGACAGGAACTTTTGTCCGGCGGTGCGAACGGAGGTAAACCCATCGCCAAGAAACTTGCTGCACATTAATTATTCTTGTCCTTCCCCAATACCCAACGCACTTTGATGTTGAATAGATTAGAGTTAGGCAAAAAGGACACATCTCTGAAAGCAAATTACTATGAAGTAGTCGAGAGGTAGTGTTCCCCCACGATCTTATGATGGCCCGACCAAGAGCCAATAGGATGGGACCTCGAGCTTTACATCTGTCTCCCATTACCCGTCGATTCCTTACCGCGGATGGGTGATCCATTTATGATGCAATCCTTGTGTCATAAAGGAAGATAGTTGACAGGTAATATTAATGGATTGATTGGTTTTGCCTTTTTCTTTTTTGCTTTTTGTTGATGATAAGACGTTTTGACTCGTTGTTGGATCATTCTACCAAGCATGTTTCGTGGTCCAAAATAGCGCATAATGATGGACTAACGAAAGAGGAGGAGGAGGAGGAGGAAGAGGGGGAACTCACTTGTCGATACGGTTGCGCAGCTTCTTGAGGAAGCGCTCGTTGTCCTCCTCGGCCACCTTGAAGACGCGCTCGATGAACTCCTGCCGCTCGCTGACGCCCATCTTGCGCACGTCCACCTCCTTGTGCTGGTACCGCCGCCGCCCCTGCTCCCCCTCCTCCACCACCGACCGGAGGATCCCGGTGCGCAGGCGGTTGTAGGTGGGGAGCCTCTCCAGCGCGGCCCACCGCAGCGCCTCCTCGTCGTCGTCGACCCTGCTCCGGCTCCGCCATGACCTCCCCCGCGTGCTCGACGGCGCGAACACGTCCTCCATCCCCCAGTTCCCCACGTTCACGCCCCTGCTGAGGCTCCGGCTCGCCCGCCGCCCCGAGTCCCACACCCTCTCCATCCCTTCACCTGCCTCTCCTTGTCTCCCTCTCCCCTCGTATCGTAGAGCTCCGTGGCGTGTTATGTAAGTAGTGGGGAGGGGCGGGCAGGAGTAGGGGATTGGGAGGAGTTGGGGTGGGTGTGGGAGCGTCGTTTTCTATATATACACATCAGGCGAGAGTCCGATAAGGCGCGGTTGGTGAAGTGGTCTTTCCTTTCTCTGAAGCATCGGACGCTTAATTCGTCGCGTTAGGTGCAATCAATCAGCGGCAATTTGGCTACAGTCGATGCCCCCGGTTCACCTTGTAATTTAAAGTTGCTTCACGAGCCGGTCCGAACCCACCAACCCGACTCGGCTCTTTTTTGATGTGACCTGACTCGAACCGACCCAATTTAGTCGGCTCATGTTCTGGTCGATCGTGCTCCGTTAACGTATCGCTCCCAAGGCTTGAAGATGATGTCAGGGAGAGCGAAGGCAGCGGAAAACATTGAGAAAATTCTCAAAATTAAAATCATAAAATTTCAGTTTACACCCTTTTTCATTTGTTCTCCCACATGTTTTCTTTTTCATAAAAAATGATATTAGTCCCGCTTCTGTCCTTTGTCCGTTATTATAGTTGTGCCATCGTCCACCCCTCAACTCTTGTCTTTTGTTGTCATCTTCTTCTCTTGTTTATCGTTATGTTGGCGTGATCGAGGTGGGCTATCTCTCGGGAGAGTGATTGAGGATGGGCTTGGACTTGTGTAAGCCAATTGTAGCAAAGTCATGGATTGAGTTAGTGCGAGCCACCCTCGAAGTCATTGTCATTGTTCCCAGCCTTCACTCCTCTTTGACACCTCTCCCTCTTCTACTTACCCTTATGAGGTCCAATCACAGGTGCTCCGCCATCACCTGCTGCAAATATATCATCACCGATAAAATGAAGTCAAAGATGATCACACTCTTACACATCTTTGGAACCCCTCGTTCCTCATTATGATAGCACTAGACGAGGGGTGGAAGCGACAAGGCGAGATTGTGACAAATAAGGGTAAGAGGAAAGATGACTCTAAGACTCTCCTTCATCCTATCGTTCACATCATTGATAACAGTTAAGATTTTTCCAACTGCACGAGGAAATCTCGCTACTCTATTGAGAGAAATCCTCTCTCTTAGTGTGTATAAATAGGGAGCACATATCAAACATAAATACATCTTCTATTTTTCTATCTTCTTCATAATTTATTCTATCAATCGTCAACCTTGATAGAGGGGCAATAACGAAGATCAAGTTAGAGACAGATGTGTAATCAACGATGGAATTGACACATCACTAAGTAATGCTAAGGTCGTCAGCAAGTGACAACAGATCCTTGCGAATGACGAGGGAGGAAGAGGGAAGGGAAGGCAAGGACAACAACAACAAAATAAGAGGGGAGGCGAGGGGAGGGTAACAGAAAAAGAGGGGAGGAGGGCAACCAAGGAGAGGGGAGGGCGGTGCGGCGTACTTTTTTTTAAAAGGAATTTGTCCTTATTATTTTTCAAAGTTAAATGGTCCTTAAATACTATAAAAATTGTTCTTTTTTTTAGATGTACGATTTGGACAACTGTGCGAATACTTCTCTATTAATCTAAATTAATTGGCGCCGTGTCCTGCGATCTCAGTTGAGATCACATCAATTATTATCATATCATCATCATCGTCATCCCAACGTAGTGCAGAAGGTTTGGTTGGAGTGACCCATCCTCAACTTCAGCTGACGAAGCTACGTTGACTCGGACACGAATCCACGAATGGGTTTACACGATGAGTCAATCAGCTTTGACTTTATCGTCCAACTTTAGCCGGCCACACATCTAAAATATTAGTACGATTGCAGTACATAAAATCTACTTATTAAACTTTAAGAGTTAGAAATCTTATCCCATAATTTTTAAAAATATTATTTAGTAAAAGATTTTGACTTTTGATAGTAAACTTCTGAAATTAAAATTTATTTTTACTATTTTTGATGAAATTAAATAGAAAAAAAAGAGTCGAGGACTTTATACACAGTAATAGAGACTTGAGAGAACATATAAAGAAGAGATGGCTTGTTCTCATGCAATTATATATAATATATAGATGAGGAGGATACAATATAATCGATTCCATTTTGCATTCTACAGCCACCATCAACTGCAACAACATTGCTTATTCTCACATAATCTAGGCTTTATAATGGGTCAGTGGACGCGCATCATGCCTTCCACCGCCGCATGGCTTCACGAACGAGAGCCTCTCTTCTCAGTTGCCAGAGCGAGTCGCTTTGTCAACAGGACCATCTTGTCTCAGCAACTGGCACAGCAAAAATGAGAGGTGCTTAACAAGTTTGAGGAGATGGAGTTCAGGACAATGTAAAGTTTTTTTTGCTCGGATTCAACCTGGAAGTAGTTTTCCAACTTCTGCTTCAGGACGGCATGCTCCTTCTTCACCTTCTGAAATGATCTCAGGCATCTGAATGGGTGTGGATGCATTACTATTAGTAAAGCATGAACAGATCATGATTGAGTGAACTATTGTTGAGGAAAAGAAAAGCACCCTTCACGGTTTTCTTTATTGCAGAATTCTCTGAAACTGGTGCACTCATTCTTCATCTTTGCAGCACCGATGCTACACAAGTTCCGCCAGCTTATATTAGTCATATTTGCATGTCATCAGGAACAAATGATCCAATAATAAAAGAAAGCAAGATA